TGTAGGGTTTTGATGCATCATCGTCGAGGTGTTCTCGCTGAGACAAGGTGGAGCTGGGTAGTAGTTTCTGTCTGGTGGACATGACAAGGGGCGTTTCATGTTCTCTTTTTCTTCTTCCTGTCTCTTCAGATACATTCGGTATTTCTGCAGGAAAAAAATATTTTTGAAAAGAAATCAACTCATTGATAATTGTTTTAGTATTAGAGTTCAAATTCTAAGGTGTGATTTCAAAAGTTGAGAAAAAAAATCATTCATTCATCTAAAAATTTTGAAAAAAATTAATCGTAACAACCCTAATTATTGCGGATATTGTTTAATTAGTTATTTGAGTATACGATTTTGTTGGAGTAATCGGTTTCTTAGAATAAATCTGCAAAAGGGTTCGAGAATTGATATGAAATATAGAATTGTTTATTTAATTACCTGGAGATGACTGGCGACATTTTCTCTTCTGAGACTCTCATCATTCATTATCTCCAAGATTTTTTTTGGAACAGCCTCTATATATCAACACTTAGGAATAAATCATACGGTATATAGATATAAATATAATTAGATTATATATATATATATATTTATATATTACAAAACCCTAAATTTGATATGAACAAAAAACTCACTGTCAACCCCAAGCTGATTGACGGCATCCAAAAACTGACGATGAAGATCGGTAGACCAAATCACTCTTCTCTTTTTCGAAACCCTACCATGCACGTGATCGCTGTCATGTCCTTCGTCGAGGACCTTTTTTCTAGGGTTTGTGAAACAAGAGGACGAGGTCTCACCCTTCTCTTCTTCCTCCGCACGTTCTAGAACTTTCTTAGCCACGTGTTTGTATATCGTCCTCAGCACCTCCGGTCTTATCGGCTTCACCAGATAATCGCATGCACCGTTCCTCACACCTTCGATCACCGATTCCACCGAATCATCCGAAGACATAACTGCTTATACATGATAAATAACGAATATATTATATATATATATATATATATATATATTATAATGGTACGTATGTTTATATTTTATTGACGTGAATGAGTGGGAATTTAAAAATGCTTACTGATGATGGGGATATCTGTCTCGGATCTGATTTGTGAAAAAATCTTGGATCTTTCGGCGTTTAAATCTTGGACGTCCACGATGGCTATATCGCAACTATTTTTGCTGCCGCGGAGAAGCGACAAGGCGGCGGCCAATCCGTTGCATTTCGTGACTGAATCATTATTATTTCATGAAAACATAAGAAGAAATCGAATATATATATAGATCTATCAAAACTGAAATTATATATATATATATATATATATATATATATATGTATATGTACCTTGATATTTAAATTCTTTGAGTTGGTTCTCCATTGTGAGGAGATAGTGGGGATCTTCATCCACGACCAGCACCCTCAAACCCTCCGGAAATTCGCCGTGAAAAACACCGAACTTAACGAACCTAGCGACAGTGTTCTAAACAAGACAGACTATGTGTATATATATACCATCATCTGAAAATAGATTGTCATGAATTCTAAACCCTAAAAAGGTTTTTTCCCCTGCAACGCAGAGGAATCTTGGGAATGGCGGAGAAGACCCTACCGGTGGAGAAGAAGAAGCAACAGATGCTTGATCGGTCATCCTTTGAGCTGTGAGTTCTTCTTCTGTTTTCGCCTTGCACTCGCAGTTCCGAGAGTTTTTAGTGATACTGATTTTATCTCTTTTATATTGTTTGGATTTTATTTTATTAGTAACTAATTTTTTACAGATAATTATTAATCGAGATCATATCTTGATAATATCTTAATCTTATCAGAATATTAGAATTTTTTTAAAATAATTATTAATCGAGATAATCTTTTTTTTTAACAAAAAGATATTAAGTATTTGAATACTTCTAGTTATCTTTTTGTTTTTTATTCAATAAATCTATGTTCTATTTAAAAGTAAACTAAAATAGAAAAATAAATCCGTTGAAATTCGGATACTATAATTTTTTTTTAAACTTTTCGTCAGTTCGAATTTTGAATGAATAAGTTATCATAACATATTTTCTTCAAAAAGGAAATCTTACTTTTTTTTTTCACCAAATGTAGTAATCAATATATTTATAGAGATATTAATATTTAAAATATTTGTAAGTAAGAGTTTTGGCGACTCCGAATCCGAAACCGACGCCATTGTTGCTCCTGCTGCTCTGCTTCAACTCATTGGTTCTTCTGCTTCTAAAGCCGTTACTTTTGCATCTTCCTCCTCTTCTTCCGCTTCACCGGCTTCTCCGTCCGCGGCGAAATTCAGCTCCCATTGTCCATCTCCGGTTCCGAGAGCTTTCTCCTTGCCGACGCCGTTGGTTCATCACCCTCCGGCGAGGAAAGGCGACAATCACTACCTACGGCTCCCACGCGAGTCGTTGTCCCCTCTCGGTGATAAACACATGGGAGCTCATGGAAGGGCTCGTGGAAGCATCTGTCTGAAGAAACTGTATTCACATCACATACGTCTTGCTTTGAGAAGAAATGGCAGGCATGATGACGCCGTTTGTTCATAAACATGGATGATGATCCTGATAGCCATTGTTGCAGAAAGAGAAGCTCAAGTGGAAGACCTTGTGGAAGGGCGGAATTGGTCAGTCAAATCTGGCCGATTCTTGTTTGACCCACGTCATCACTCCCTCGGCTTCACGTCCGAGCCTCTGCTCCTCCACCCTCGCCGCCTTCAGCCGCCGCGATTGCTCCTCCACCGAGAAAGTGCTCGCATCCGACAGGAACTCTTCCCCCGCCGGCCACTTCCGGTCACCGGCCTCCGCCGTTCTTGCCTTGTCTCCGCCGTGTTCCTTGTTAGCCGCCCCAAGGCAGCACAGCGTTGAGCCCATGCGTCAAGAGAGAGAGATGAATGCTGCGTGCATGTTATATTATTTATGTGATGATTAATTCATTGTGGCAGCGGAAACCATTTATTGATTAAGAGACATTGGCTGTCCACATATGAATTAAAATAATTATAACGATCATTTGACTATATACTTCAATGATATATAATATGGTTTGAGTGGAGCTAGTGAGATGTTACATCAGAGTGATCTAAGATTCTACCGAACTCGTTACACGCAATGTGCATTTATTCACATATACAGCTAAAATTTGGCCGTATATATTATATACTGTTTATTATTTTCACGCAACCACTTTTTCTTAAAAAAATAATGTTACTCAACTCTTGATAAATATATATAACAAAATTTAAAAGTTTCTAAATTTTGTATGGTCGTTTCCATATTTTATTTATTTTGATTTTGTCTTACCAGATTCCCAGGGTTTTAATTTAAATTTAAATAAATGGTAATGACTTTTTGAATTCAGAACAATTTATCATTCAAAATTTCCTTGATTATTTTAAATCTGTAAACTCAACTTCTAAATTCTTGTAAAATTCAACCCATTACACTGTTCCCTTGGATAAAAGATAATATATACTCATTTTGATCGTACTGTGGGAGTTGTGCCGCGTCTGACAGGAAGAACCCGTATTCTTCATCATCGGCAAGTTCTAGGGTTTTTCAGGAACGCAATCGCAAACCAACAAATCACCCTAATTTCGAGTCGGTAGGTGATGTTTCCCGCTCGCATCTTCCGATTTCATCTTTTTTCTTAGCTCCAATCGAAGCAATCCAAGGTTAATCGCCCACTCTTAGCCTTATAATTGATCTGCGAAATTGAACTCGATATTTGAATTGAGGTCATCGGAGAGAGAATGAGCGATGTGATAGGTGATCCGGCGACGGTGAGCGAAGCCAAGGGCGGTTCTGACGCCGCACGGATCGCGGAGGTGCAGGCGTGGCTCACCTCTCAGTTCGAATCCGCCGGCAAAGAGGTTCCTACCTTCGAATACACTCACCGGAGCATTGCCCATCTCTACAATCTCGCCACCGCTTCCCAAGCCAAGACTCAGGCTGCAGCCATTGTTGGTAATGATTTTCGGCAAAAGGCTTCGGAGTACCGAGCGCAAGGTACTTCGTTGCAGTTCCTAAACTCTGCCCGTTAAGAGTTCAAATTCGTTACTTTTGTTCGTTCCTTCTATAGCTTAGTATCATTAATGCTGTTGTTCCATTGATGGGCAATGCTGTTTCTGGTTATACAAGCTTTATGGAGTGAGACAGAATATGGGCTTATCTTCATCATTCTGGGTTTATTGATGTAGCGGCTAGGATAAGAGAGATTTTGGAGAATGTTGGGTTGGCACAAGAGAGCTTACCATCAAATGTGGTCTCATCGGCGCAAGTTCTTGCGAATGTTGCGAATTTGTTGAATGTAAGGGACACTGAACTGAGTAGGTGAGTTGCCTTCCGCTTCATAGTTTATTCTCCTTGGATGTGTGTTATGTTCAAAACTGTTGCCGAAGAGTATCTGTATAGTTTTCTTGTAGCAATGGGTGACATTTCGTTGAGGAAGACTGGAGTGGAGGAGAAGAGGGCTAAGGCACAGAAGGAGTCCAAGATTCTTCTCGATTATACAAGAAAGGCGATACAGAGGTTGACATATTTAAAGAAGTAAGATTCTTAATGGAGAAACGACCAACAAATTTGACTTCCAGCATGATATGTTTGTGTTATGCACCTTTTTCCGAGGTATCTGAGCAAAGGAAATGCTCCTTATTGTTTTTGCCATGTTGGCTTTTGCAGAATTCTTGCACAGCTAGAGGATGATGTAGCCCCTTGCGAGTCCCAGATGGATAATTGGAAGACAAATTTGGAAGTCATGGCATCAAAGGAACGTCAGTACATACAGCAGTACAAGAACTATGAGGTAATAGCCACCTTCTTTCAGTTTACCTTCTGGTCCAGGTTAATAGTACTGACAATAGGCTAAACAATTAGATTTGGTGGAGTTTGCCATACCATGGCCGGATTCATGAAAATGGAGAAATACCTAGCTCTTGCAGGTCTATAGCCATTATGTATACCAAAAAATTGTCATTTGCTACATTTCTAAGAGTGAGAGAGAGATGTTAAAAGCATATCCTTCCAATGAGACTGTGGATAGTCAATCTATCTTCTAATAATCATTTATGTGTACAGACCTAAAGCCCTTCAACCACATAACAAGGAGCTTTTTGATTCCCACCAATTTTCTTGACCATTTGTCAAGAAATATTGAAGAGTGTTCTATAGTAAGAGACATCGATAGTGGTGTCTATTGACCTGCTGTCTGTTGGTCCATAAACAGAGCTACAAGGAAAATAAAACAAAATTGTGCCTTTTTTCTAGTTTATGCTGTTCCCTCTTAACTTTCATAGTCACCGGAATTAATTTGTGATTGTGCTTATGTGGGGCAGACGTTACTCAACCGTGTTGGTTACACTCCCGATATCAGCCACAGGGTACTGGTAGAAATGGCTGAGCACAGAAAGGATTTGGAGAAGAAGACAAAACCCGTCCTCGACACTCTAAGAAGTTACCAGGACTTGCCCCCGGTAAATACACAATAAGGGTGTTTTCCCTTTGTGACTGACACCGAGATTGAATCCTCCATTGATGAAACACTTCTCTATCTCTCTCTATACGTACCATTGGTTGGTCTTGCAAATTCATGATATGTTATTTGTGATGGAGCAGGATAAAGCTCTGGCAGCACTTGCAATAGAAGACAAGAAACGGCAATTCGCTGCCGCCGAGAAGTATCTTGAAGAAGTACTGCAGTCAGCCCTTGCCACCGGCGACTAATAAATACCCAACCAGAAATTATCCTCTTTGATGTTTCAGCATTTTCGCATCATATGGTTTTTTCTTGGCGTGTTGTGTGTTTCCTGGTGGAATATCTGATGCAACCTTTGCCCTTTTATGTTCTTCCTGAGATCCCTTGTAGTTTTTCACTTTGATCCTGAATCATTGAATTGTGCTACTATTGTTAGGGTTTTATATTGGGAAATTTGTGTGATATTTACCAAATCGACCCCTAAGCAGTATGGTACTAGTTTTGCTGTTTCATTGTCTTCATGGGAAATCATTCTTATGGGAGAGTAGGGTTTGATTTGATATTCTTATGGTGGATGGGGTTGTTTTTGAAAATAAATAAATATTGGATAGTACTGCGTGAAACCCAAAATACTGGAGGTCTAGTTGATAATATCAACTCTTCCGTCCTTTGGCTGTTGTGGGTCATGGTCATTGGTCATGTCACGCAGGTGTTCTTCTTCTTCTTAAGAGGCCGAGCAAACCCTTCCTTTAAATCAGATATTTGGATCGGCTTCTCTGTGTTGTTTCAATGGATGCTAAGATGGGACAATTGTTCGAATCCGTTGGTTCCTTCTTCAGCGGTGGCGATAAGATCCCCTGGTGCGAGTGCGATGTCATCGTCGTAAGTCTCCTCCTCCTCCTCCACGCGTTTTCGCTTATGGTTTTTGGATCTTTTCCGCTCTCAAAATCACGGTCCGTTTATGGAGATTCGAACATTTCCGTGCTTTTCTGGGTGATTTCTGATGGGTGGGTTTGCTTGAACTCCACAGTCCGTGGAGATTGAATTAGAAATTGGATTTTGATCTCATGGATATTCGAGCGGTGTGATAGTTTGTGAAAGTAACGCGCTGTAATCGCCCCTCGAATATTGCAGGCGATCCGATTTGGATGAATTTGTTTGCACGCGCACATACACTCGCCTTATCGGCCACATGGAATTACTATGAAATATAACTATAGTCTGATGGTTCATGCGTTGGGAGCTTCAATGGTCTTGTCCCCATTTTTATTAGTGTTCTGGTCACCGACTCAGCCGTGCTGTTCTGCGGGCAGGGGTGTGAAAGAGAGGTCCAAGAGGCCACGGATGGTGGCTCCGAAGAACTTAAGAAGGAGACCATAATGCGATTATCATGGGCGCTTGTTCATTCTCGTCAACCGGAAGATGTGCAACGTGGAATCGCCATGCTTGAAGGTATCTCCTTTCTTGTTCCATGCCGTAGTTTGACGCACACTAAGATCATTGGGGACCATGCTTTGTGCTAAATGGCTCGCCTATTGCAAGTTTCATCAAGAAGGCTGTGGGAATCCTTTCTCTTTTATTTTTCCGTGCAAATATGAGACGGGCAAAAAAAGCTGTGTTTTTTTTTCTTTCTTGCAGCATGTCTGGCAAATAGTAGCCCTCCTTTGCAGGACCGAGAGAAGCTTTATCTTCTTGCCGTTGGATACTATCGAACCGGTGATTATCCAAAGAGCCGTCAGCTCGTGGAGCACTGTCTCGAGGTTGATACTTAGTCCAACTCTGTTTCCTTCCGTGGTCTTGTGATGTTCTCTGAGATTCTCAGCATGGACTAAAATTCTCGTAGATTCAACCTGATTGGAGGCAAGCATTGGTCCTGAAGAAGACTGTTGAGGACAAAATCGCAAAGGGTAAGCACTAAAACGTTCTGTTGGGGTAACCAACGTTATCTATCCAGATCTATCGAGTTGTCAATGGACGTCCATTTTTTGTTGTTGTGGCAGATGGTGTAATTGGGATAGGGATCACGGCTACAGCCGTAGGCCTCATAGCTGGTGGAATTGCTGCAGCTTTGGCCCGCAAGAAATGACCACCTATGGACGCGATGTGCATATGAATAATGTGTATCTATAAGTTTTCTTCCCTTTGGTGAGTGTTTTGTGTATTCATGATCTCTATTTTAACAGACTAACCAAATTTCTCTCGCAAAAGGATAACATGTGTCCAAAATGTGTGTGGGCGAGATGAGGATGTTGCGATGGATGTGCGGACATACACGGATGGACAGAATCCGGAATGAAAGTATTAGAGAGAAATTAGGAGTCGTAACCATAGAAGAGAAATTACGGGAAGGGCGCATAAGGTGGTTTGGATATATAAAACATATACCGTTCGACGCTCCGGTTAGAAAATTAGAGAGTATAAAGATATCTCGTGAAGAAACGAAGAAGGGGTAGGTTTGGAAACGAGTCATTAGGAATGATTTGGATGTGTTGTAAATTTCGGAGGATACGATTCAAAACCGAAATGAGTGGAAAAGAAGATCATTCTTCCCAATTACATGCTCCTTCAACCCTCGGATTCTAATGCATCAAGTAAATCGTTTCTTTTGCTGGTTTAGATGGGGCATTTAATCGGCCACATGCATGCCTGCGTAGTAGTCATGGTTGAAGGCACGCTTCCGATCTTCAAATATATTTCTGCAATTATTGTGGATTTATCGTTGAACTTTATTTATATCTGCATTTTATAGCTAACCATCTTTCACATTATACAACGTTTTGGCGATAAAAGATGGGCGGTTCATCGTCCAAGTCGAAGAACACTTCTCGTGGCCGGAAAACGGCCAGAAGATTGACAAGACATGGCAGTGACAGTAGCTCGGCTGATTCGCACAGCTATCACCATTCTTCACGGTTCTTTCATTCTCGTTAACCATAATTGTTTTGCACCAAATACTCAAATACCATACCACTATTCCATATATACATATATATATATATATATACACCTTGTGTTCTATTAAATAGAATTAAAGAAGAGTTTTGTTCACAGGCGAGGACATCATAGCTACTCCAAGTCGAAGAAACCCACTGGTAAAAGCAAGGCGAAAGCGACGAAATCAAAGAGACGAGGGAAAAAGATACAAACTTCAGACTCTCGCCACTTTTCGGTAAAGAGAATTCTTAGTCATGGAGGAAGCAAATCTTGGAAGGGGATGTCGGGAAAGCTGAAGGGAAAGAGAAAGATTGATTCGTATTCAGATTCAGATTCGACATCTTCGATGGGTCACCATCATGACACTTCCCATTGTATGCACTCGCCACCGTCGTCATCGTCATCGTCATCACCTCCTTATCCCGACTTATGTGGCCATCGGTATTCTAACACCCATTGCTTACATGATTAATTAGACGAAAATGTCATAACTCGGATTATCTTCCTCGTCGGTGATTGTTATAGTCTTTGCCGATCTTCTTCTTCTTCATCGCTGCACAGTTATAAATGTTGTGAAAAATTATTCTAAGAATCTCAAATGTTCTGTAACCTTTGTGGTGAATGCAAACATTACAGAGCAGAGTTTTCAATCTTCTAGGGTGAAAACAGAAAAGATAGAAGAAATGGGGTCAGAAAAGGAGAAGTTAACAAAATGTGGGTTAGGGTTGTAATTTTTGTCTTGGAGCAAGATCCGGTAGAACCGGGTCTTGGTGGACCGGGTACAGTTGGGTCGGTAGGTAAAAGGTCCTTTAGATTATTGCTTGGCCCAACAAATCTAAGAAGCCTGACACGTTGGCCCGATTCAAATGGGGTCCTTTTTTATTATATAATTATTTTTTAAAAAACTAAGAGGTTTAAGGATCCTTTTTTTATTAAATTTGATATTGTTTGTCGATTGATCATATGACATAAAAACCAGCATTAGATTAATATATTTTTATAATGTGATTTTTTTTCTTTCTAGAATGGAGATTCTAGGGTTTTCTGGTATAATCTATAGAGTGTTGTGCATTTATTTTCAGTTAATAATAATAATAATAATAACTACAAATAATATAATATTTTAAAAATAACATAATACTTATCAATCGATCTAGACCGATCATTGAACTTAAAAATAAATAATCAAGAAAACTGTAAACGTCACCTGACAGATCATCATTATCAACACAACACTCCATCGGATTGATTTGGCTCTACGTTGTAGAAGAGACATTCAGTACATACATACATACATATATTATATATATATATATATATATATATTATATTGGCTTTTTTATTTGAATTATTTATTTCTTTGTCTTTTTGTTAAAGCTTATATGCCCAAAGGCATTTCTATCCCCTAATGGCTAATAATGCCCCACCCTCATTGTGCTCGTCTTTACACAACCACAGATTTGACGCTTCAAATTTTAACAAAAACATATCCAGAATTTGTTTCCTTCTATTTTAATTCTCCTTTTAATATTAATGTCTCTCCCCTTTTAAGAATCTGAGTTATATATACCTCATTATATTATCATTTGTTAGATGTACATTTGCATGTATGTATGTATCGTTTGTACTTATATATGTATGCGTGCATGTACATATGTATGAATAAATCATTTATTGAAAAGCTTGGTATTTTAATATACCGTTCCGTTTCAGAGTACACAATGCATGCATCTATCAAATCGTGTACAATTATATAAACTAAATTGTAAACAAATTAACAAATGGTGATAGAAATACATACAAAACATTTTTAAAAAAAATGTAAATATATAAATTAACGTCTGTGTCACCATCATCATCTGCAAAGTAAATAGACATTATTAATCGAAATGTCTAGACAAATCACAGTAATTCACCTGCTAACTTATTTTTTTTTTCATGTGAAAATGAATATATATTATTATACAACGGATAATATAATTTTTCAAATCAAATCTTTTGTATTGGATTTGACTTGGACCTCCTTAACCAATGTAACTGTGTTTTTCTGCATTTGTTGGTTACCAAAGCCAAAGCTCCAAACGAACTTACAGTGGTAGTAAATTACTTTATAAGTTTTAGATATGTTTAAGTAAATTCGGGTGAAATAAAAATAAAAATAAAATCCATTTTGAAAATTGGAAAGCTTTTTTTTTTTTAACCTAAAAACAAACAACGAGATTGATGGAACATGGTGAAAACAAAATGATTAAAATCTAATTATAACTAAAATAAACTTGTATTTTTTTTTATCACCTTCCATGCAATAAAAATGTTATACATCTCCATATACAAAAATAGAGTGGTTAACCATATGGATAACAGTATCTGATCATCAGCTAAGAATCCTAGAAGTGATGATGATGATGATTATGATACATGGATAGATCATGATGATGCCTGCTTTGGCTACTGTTATGATCCTCCCCATGATTCCGACTCGAACCCACCTGACCAGAACCAGAACTCGCTGCTCCAAGATTCAGATAAACCAATCTCGAATCCAGGTTGTTCATGCTTCCACCACTGCTCCCGCTTGTACGATCTTCGTTCATTGGCGGGAAAATCGCTGGGCTGTTGTCGTTGTTGTTGTTGCTGTTACCTTCTTCACGCGAGATCACCATTGCAGCGGACTGGACCAGTTCGAGGCAAAGCCTGAGCTTGTTCGGCTCGATGTGGGTCAACCCGGGAACCGCCCCCTTGAACAAGAAATCAGAAGTTAGGGTTCTTAGGATGTCGAGAGGTGTGATACCATCCACTGTCCGGACAATAGGGTCGGCGTGGTGGTCGAGAAGGACGGCCACCATGTCCGGGCAAACCATCTCTGCCGCCACGTGGAGAGGCGTTTTACCGGCCGGGCCGGCCGGGTAGTTCACATCTGCGGCGCCTAGCTCGAGCAATGCCTTGACCACTTCCCTGCTGCAATTCTCCACAGCGTAATGAAGGGCGAGAGATTCATCAAGGTTGAGGCCTTCACCCATCACCATAAGTTTCACGAGCTCGACGTCTGAAGAATCCAACGCTCGCCTCATCCTCCTGATCTTCTGATCTTCGAGGTCTTGGGCCACGGAGAGATCGTGATGGTGGTGGTGGTGGTGGTGAGGCATAAGCGAACGTCGCGCCATTGAGGATTTGAGACGGAGCTCCTCGATCTTGGCGACCACGTCGATGGGAAGATGCTTGGCCAAGATTTCCGGAGGCAGGCCTGATTTAGCGACCAAGTGAGAGCAAGTGGTCCACAACTGATGCATGTCTTGCTTTCTTGAAGCTATAAGAACCCTCATCACATCTTCAATGGAAGCCTTCTCCACCATGCTTGCCAATTGTTTCTGCAAAAACAAGATTTAAAAAAAAAAAAGACAAGATCTTGATCCAATCCCCGACAGTACGTATATAACTCAGATTCTCGGATGAGATGCTCGAAAGCATCATTTAAACAAGTGGGTTAGCTTTGCTGGATTTGCGGCGGTTTCATGCTTAATTTAAGCATCAAATTGAAACTGACCCCCCAAACCCAAACCAAGAAAGTGAGCACACTAACTCATCAAGTTTCTAAATTGGGGAACTGGTTTTAAATCCGGAGAGTTTTCCCCAAATCGGGTTAAGTGCAAATCGATGCAAAATCATCTGATTGGTAAGGCGGAAGATCCAAGATAAAGAACACACATTTTCAAGCTTGAGCACATCTACACATGAAATCAAGAGGCCAAAAAACGAAAGCCGCCATTAAGAAACAACATGACCCATCAGAAGAAGTTAATATATGAAGATAGCCATCGATTGTACATTTGTGAACGATCAAGGGTTTCGAGTAATTAATCTTGACCCGCAAGAGCCAAGTCCGTCTAAGAACAAACAAATTGAAATGTCTGTTATAGACGAAGGAAAGAGAAGAACAATTGACACAAATGCAAAGCATGGCGTTTGCTTTCGAACTCAAAACATTACCAATTAGGAAAACCAAAACTGCAAAACGATGAAGATGATGGAGAGGAAACAGAAGAGTGTTTTATCAAATACGCAAACCAGAACATCAAGAAAGGCGAGACCTTTACTCGATGTGCATAGATATAAACACAAAAATCAAAAGGTATATGTTTATATATATACGTATATATGAACCTGAGTTAGCAAGGCGAGCTGTTCGACGCCAAAGTAACGAGCGGCTGAGAGGGTTTCGAGTGCGAGATCAACGGCCGAGGTGCAATGCGTGTGCCAACACCCTCTCTCCCCGCAATTCGGCCTCGGCTCGTGCTTCTGCGGCACGATCGACACTTGCCCACTGTACAGATACTGCAGCAGCAGCAGGAACACCTCGTACCCGACCGAGTTCACCGGTATCACCCCCGCCGGTCGTGTCGGGCTCACGTTTCCTGGTCCAGGTCGGGTCATTTCCGACGGGTCGAACCCGGTTCCCGAAGGCGGGTCGGGTCCGCAGAAGAATTTGCGGAAGAAGAGGCTCCGTGCAGCGAGGATGCACCGGTGGGCGTGGACAAGACGGCCCTCGACGCTGAAGGTGACGTCGGAGAAAGCTTGGCCGTTGATTAGGAGGTTCAGGTAATCCAGCGACAGAGATCGCAATGATTCTTCGAGACTGCTCATCGTTGAAGTACTTTATTTTTTTTCTGATCAGTCTCGGGAAAGTTAGGGTCTTTTTTCCGGTAAAGTTTGTTCCTTTTTCGTTTGGGTGGAGAGAAAAAGGTTCAAGCTTTGATCTTTGTCGATCTTGAAGAAGATCAAAGCCACACTGTTTTCGCCCTTCTCTGCGCGCAGAGAGAGAGAGAGAGAGAGATTCTTTAATGTTTGATGGGTTGCGTTGTGTTGATAGATATTTTCTTCTTTGCCCAGATAGAGAAAGATAAATCTGGATGGGTGAGGTATTTAAAATATGGAGGGTATAAATTATTAATTGGTTTGGGTTTGGTTAATGTAATTAAGATTAGCACTCTTATTACCATAATTAGAAATAAAAATAACATATAACAAAAAAATAAAAATAAAATATACAATAATAAGGTGAGGAGAATCTAATTGGGGGGGGGCAATGAAAAGAAGGGGAAATCATTATCTTTGTGAAAAAAAAGAGGGCAAAAAAGTAATAATCACCATTAGTAGATAGATTCTCATTAATCCCTTAATCCCATATCTATTTGCCCTATCCCCTTTTTTCCTCTCTAATTTTGTTAATTAAAAATACTTGAGATCTATAATAAAACCAAAGATCCTTGTTATGTCCTTTTGGCCCGATTTGGACATGTGAAAGCCTTCATAAACCGAAGCAGATCTCTTTTAAAGAAAAAAAAAATCATGTGTACACACACATACGTGCGCACTTACATGCATACATATATACATATATAGATGTACATATTGAGTGGTGACACCACATTGGGATATTATGGTAATTTGGACAGTGGGTTTCGATGGATAAGAACATTGGCCTAATTGGTTAAGGCAAAACGGGTGAAAATTTCGGACACTTGTGTATTTGATTTGATGGTTCGGTGTTGACCGTTGCTCCCAATTCTGACCATCTTCCCCCCATTTCTATCTTGTTCTCTCTCTTTTTTTTTTCATTTTAATTGTTGGAAAATCATTACGACTGATTAAATCGTGGTACTTAAACGTTAATTATGGGATTTTATGAGGAAAAAAAATACAGTTTTGGAGGGTAATTAATCAACCCTTCTTTTGGGTTTTGCTAATTGCGGTCGGCTACTTAATTATGGGATTGAATTATCTTCTGTTCCTTAAAAGGATTTATAATTAATTTCTTGAATTTTAACATATATAATGTGTGTATATATACATAACACCAAAACAAAAACAAAAAGAGAAGGAAACTATTCTTTTTTCCCTCTTGGTATTTTTCTCTTTTTATGGGTAAATAATTTTGAGAAATGAGAAAATAAAAAAAAAGAGGAGAGGGAAAATGGAGGGAGAAAGAATGACAACACAAGAGGGGCACTGACAGTCGTATGATACGAAGAGGTCTGATTTGACATTTGACTTGTCTTTTCACTTCTCCCTATTTTTTCCCTTGAAAATTTGCCAAATATTTCAAATTTAACCCTAATCATACCTTAACGGATTTTTCTTTCGAGTTTTACGTTTTCATTTAAATTTGTTTAGCTTATTTCGGTTTTAAAAGTGTATTTCTTCGGTTTTATATTGAATTGATTTGATAAATATACATTTCCAATTGATGGTTTGATTGAATCAATCTTTGATAATTAATTTAGAATCCTAGGTTGTAATCAGCTGTAACATAACATAAATACGACGTCTTAGAAGAGCTATAGAATATGAGCTCGATTGTTATGGTTTCGTATAATAAAAATTCTATATTTTTTTTTTTGAAAATGTGTCAATCGGAGAACCATAGATTATTAAAAAAAAAGATAAATGAATGAGTATTCTCTGTTATTTTATTTAAATTCAAAATATTTCTTAAATATAAAAACCTCCAAAAATTCAAAACAAAATAATAAGAACAGTTAAATATCTATAAATATAAATCGAGAGTAAACCAAAATGAATTAACCAACGCTTAACCAGGTCTAAACCGATCAAATTCAACATAAACCATCAAATACAAGACTCGCTTTAAAAAAATAATGTGATATAGGAAATGGGAAAAGGGGTCATAGTTTAATGGGATCCTAGGGTTTTTGCTTTCTCTTATCTTTACTCTTTCATTTAGTTAATGTTTCTTTTATATATATAATATTTTCCTCGAAATTTGGATGGAAAAAAGTAAAGTTCCAAACCACTCAATTAGCGGTGAAATGATAAACTAGAAAACACATTTTTAAAATTATAATAAATATCTAGATGTTAAATACTAAACATGATATGGTAAAATAAACAAGTCCGATTATATATATAAAAGTACCTGATTCAATAATTTTCTTTCTAATGACTTCAATACATATATATGACATATGCAATTGTTCACATAAAAGTACCCTAAATAAAAAATTAATATATGAGTGGTTAATTTTGTCAGACAAAACACAAAAGTGGTGGGAGCATCTATACCCCATTAATAATTAGGGTTTATAGAACCAAGAAAGATTCCAATTAGTGACCCTAATGAGGATTATCCTTATAATCTATCTTTAGATGCCATTTTAGGAAAATTCGTTACACTTCCCCCACAAAAATCATCTAAATTTTAAATTGTATATCTAAAAATCATATTTTTTAAATTTTATATTACAATCAAATTAAGATAAATTATATATATATATATATAATGTTAGTACTCATTATAATGTTAAAGATGCAAAACATCACGACCGATAATGTTGTTATAATTCAAAGGTTGTTTAATTAATCATGTAACGGTTCCCGCATTTTGTATTTTTTTTAGTAATTTGTAGTTATGTATTCCATCTGTTATTTTCAACAACTTTCGGAATATTTAAAATTAATTTCCTCACTTTTCTCTTCCTCTTTTTATTTATATATTGTTTTTGTTGTCGCTTGCTTGCTTTTTGTTTTCCATTTCCCGACAGCTTTATATTTTTTTAATAATATATTGACAGAGTAAGGGAAAAGTTAAATGGTACCACCTTAAATACTTGACGTGAAAAAATTTGATCTTTAATTTTATAATTCCATCAGTTCAAAATAATTTTCGCAACCACAGCAATTTCTAGTATTTTTAAAAATAATTGAAAAGAATTGAAAAATATATAAAAGACATAATAATAAAATTTATATTTTTTTAATAAGTATTATAAAATAAAATAAATGTCTAAAATAAAAATCGCAACAATATATAAGCTATTTTTTAGATACAAATTTTAATAATTTTCTAGATGATCTAACAACTTTATTTTGTTTAGAGGAAACAATAGAAGAAGATCAAATTATATATTAATCGAAAAAATGGAAAATAATAAGATCATCAGGATATATATATATATATATATTAATCCCCCACTTATTTGGCAATTTCCACTGTGCTTTAACAGTTAACAACTTACGAATGGTCATTAATCCAATCTAAAATGCACAGTTCTATTTAAAAAGAAAAAAACTATCAACTTTCGCACCAACCACACACAAATATGCATATTCACACATTTATACAATTATACCTGAAATCATATATATATATATATATA